AAATGCTAATTTGTCAACCTGAAAACTGAGCTTCCTCAATCTTATATTGCAATAAATTGAGTGATTTTCAAATATATTAGGCAAATGAGCTGAAACTCTAGTATGGTATGTATATTTAATCCTATTGCCCATGCACATATTACTTTCCATGGGATATGAATCCCCTGACCTCCAGGGCCAACTGTCATTACATTTTCTGTGTGTACATCTGTGAATATTGCAGCTTCCTGTTTCTGCCACAGTAACTACATAGCTGCTCAAAGGATAAATCAGAATGTTGAAATTACAGATTTATACATGTGAGAGGGGTACAGAGAGGAGTCTACACAGCTAGCTTTTCCAGGAACACTGGAAGTGGGTGCTATAACCTTTGCTCTAATGCTTCCTTAGGAATTGCATTTGCAGATCAGAGCAGAAAACAGAGAGGCTCTCTGAAGACAATCCAGGATGGAGTAACTAGAGGCACTCTTCTCCTGGGCACGTAGCTTGAGTCTCGTACAAAAGAAAGTCATCTAAGAAAGAAATGGATAGAGTATGCAGTAGCATACTGTTGACTCAGAATTGCTTTTGCCCCCTTTAGTAATGTCTGGGTGTTGTCAGCAAGATCCAGAAGCTAGGCAGGGGTTTTCCTCTGGACTTGGAGTGCCTCCTGCTTCCAGCTGCAGAGAATGTGCAGAGCCAATCACAGAGCTACCACCAGAGCTGGGCTAGCCTTGCTGGAAGGACAAAGTAGCTCTGGAAGTTTAGCTGTGCTCCTCTTAGAGCTGCCTCTGGTTGTTTAGACCCTCCATTGGTAAAAAAAGAAATTAACAGGAGGTGTCTCATAAATGTACTGAATGAGATTACGTCATGTAAATGTAATTCTAGCATTAAAAATGAAACAGGAGAAAAACTAAGGCAGGGCACTTAAATATCTCCTTTTTGTTTCCTTGTCAATGTGGTTCAAGAAACAGGTTTGGTGAGTGATGCTGGTGTTAGTGGACACCAGGTGACCTGATTGCCTTGCTTTAGGTGAAAAGAACTTTCCATGCAGTTCTCCCTGATGCCACCATCACCAGCTCATCCTTACACCCTGCTGCCCACAGATGCTCATATTCCTCTCGTTCCTGTGGAAACAGTGTGGTTGCAGTGCCAGTCTCTCCAAAAGCCTTGCAGGGGATGTAAAGAGCAAGGAACCTCGGAAAATTCTGGTGGTGATTTATAGTCGGGAAAGAATATGTTTTTAGTGCCTCTCTTTCTAAAAAGTATTCTAAGTAATTTATTTTTTAATGCAATTAATGTCCTTGGCTTAACATTCAAAAGTCTTGACATGTTATACATAGAAAAAAACAAAAAACAAAAAAGCCCCACAAAGCTCCCTGCCACCCCTGTCCCTAAGCAAAAAAAAAAAAAAAAAATTCCCTTTCAGAGGCAAACCACTGTGATTCATCTTTTCTATATCCTTTCTGTGGTATTTTAAGCATTTTCCAGCTTGAAGTGACAAGGATATACACATTGCCATTGTTATATAAATGGTAGCATATTATATACACTGTTTTAAATTTAGCTTTTCACTTCCTATTCATGGAAATAATTTCATATCTGTACTCAAAGAGCCTCCTTATACTTTTTATGGCTTAATAGTATTCCACTGTGTGAATGTACCATTAAAACTTTACTCCCCAACAGATGGCAATGTAGGCTATTTCCATTATTTTGCCATTCAAACAAGTGCTGCCATAAATAATCTTGTCTATGTATATTTTGCATGTAGACAAATTTGTAAGTAGAATAAATTCCCAGAAGTAGAAATGCTGAGTCAAAGAGAATGTACATTTGCAATTTCAAGCGATTTCTAATTGCCCTCCATAGAGGTTATGTCACTTACATTTTATCCAGTAATATATGACAGCTACTCTTTCCTTACACATTCATTAGTGTGGTGTTATAAAACTTTTTGATCATTGATAGTCCAAGTGGTTAAAAAAAAGTTATGACGGTGTGGTTTTAATTTTTATTTATATTATTATAATTGGGATTAATATCTTAAAAAAAATAAATCCTTCTATTTATTTATTTATTTATTTTTTGAGTTGGAGCCTCACTCTGTCACTCAGACTGGAGTGCAGTGGCCGCTCCTGGCCACCGCAGCCTCGACCTGCTGGGCTCCAGTGATCCTCCCACCTCAGCCTTCCAAGTAGCTGGAAATACAGGTGAGTGCTACCACACCCAGCTAATTTTTGATTTACTGTAGAGGTGATGTCTCGTCAAGTTGCCCAGGCAGTTCTTGAACCCACGGGCTCAGGCAATCCACTCACCTCGTCCTCCCAAAGTGCCACCGAGCCCAGCCGGGATTAATATCTTAATATGAGATCTTTAAGAGTCATTTTATACTTTCCTATCAGTGATCTACTCATATCTTTTGTCTATTCTTCAAGTAGGTTGCTGGTATTTGTCTTACTGAATTGGAGGAGCTCTTTAAGTATTGGGAAAATTAGCCCATCATTTGTGATTGAATTGCAAGTATTTTCCCAGACTGCCATTTGTCTCTGATTTTACATAATGGATACTTACCTCATGCAGAGCTTTTATTGTTATTGATGTTGTTATTTAGTTAAACTGATAATATTTTCTTTTATGAAATTTGGGTTTTATGTTATACTTTAAGGCTGCAAAATCCTTTATACACTTTACATGGTTTCCCCCTATGGTAACATCCTGAAAAACTATAGCACAATATCACAAGTAGAAAACTGGCATTGATACAACCTCTCGATCTTAATAATATTTCATCAGCTTTACATGTACTCAGTGTGTGTATATTTAGTTCTACACATTTTTATTGCAGATAGGTTTGTGTATCCACCAGCATAGTAGAGATAAACATCACCACAAGCATCTCTTGTCCTGCCCTTTTATAACCACACCCACTTCCCTCCCACCTTCATCTGGGTCCTGGACCCGGCAACCATTAGTCAGTCTGTTCTCCATATCTATAATTTTGTAATTTCAATTTCAGGAAGGCTAAATAAGAGGAATAATACGTATGTAACCTTTTAAAATGGCTTTTTACTTAGCATAATTCCCTTGAGAGTCATAGCAACTTGTTGTATATCAACAGTTTGTTCCTTTTTATTCCTGAGAAGTCATTCATGATATGGATGTAGCACAGTTTAATCATCTGCCATTGAAACCATTTGATTTTGTTTCTCAAATTTTGGGTTTTTATGAGTAATGTTGCCATGAAGATTCACGAACAAGTGTTTGTGTGAATTTAAGTTCTCATTTCTCTGGGATAAATGCCCAAGAGTGTATTTTGGTCATGTGGCTATTCCATGTTTACTTTTGTAAGAAACTGCTAAACTTTTCCAGAATTGATGTACTATTTTACATTCCCACTAAGAATGTATGCATAATCCCATTTATCTGCATCTTCTCCTAAATTTGTTTTTTTCTCTATTTTAGCTATTCTGGACTGACTGAGGGGTTTTAATTTGCATTTCCCCAGTGGCTAATGGTATATTTTCATGTGCTTAATAGCCTTCTGTATATTCTCTTCAGTGAAATGCTCATTCATGTCTTTTGCCCATTTTTAAATTGAATTTTTAAATTTTTTTTTACTGTTACTTTTTGAGTGCTCTTTATATATTCTAGATACCAGTCCTTTATCAGTCATGTAGTTTGCAAATATTTTCTTTCATTCTGTAGCTTTTTGTTTAATTCTCTTCACAATGATTTTCATGGAGCAGAAGTTCTTTATGAGGTTCAATAGATCCGGTTTTTTAATTTAGGAAAAAAAAGCAAAAAATATGTCACATCTACTATTCAAGTGTGGCAGTTGAGATGTGTACCCTTACCATATTCTGTTGGAAAGGTGGCAATAGAAACAGAGAATGCCAGGACTAGAATTTTTCTACCCATTTTGCAAATTAAGAAAACTGATACTTGTGCCAGGAAAGTTAAGTGATTTACTTAAATAAGGTGAAGAATTCAGATGAACAGTCCTTGACTTCTATTTCAAGGACCCTTCTACTACCCCAGAGTGAATGAATTTCTCTGTGTGCATTTAAGTTGCATGATATAAGCTGGCATACTATAACTCTTTGGGCTATTTTGCCACTTAGAAGACATGTGAATTCCCCAATTCCCAAAGCCAGTGGCATCTCTCCTTCCTTTGAATTCATACTTCACTTCCAGTCTCCTTTTTTATGGCACTAAAAATTTTCCATTAAAGTTATGTATAATGGGACGTGGCAAGCCTGGACTTTGAAGGCACCCAGGTGACCTACCCAGCTTCGGCAGCTATGGATACCAAAAGGGATTGAGTTTTGAAATCCACAAACTGGACACATAGAATTTTTAACAGAGATGAAAGGCCTTACAGAGATATGAATGTTAAATGACATTTGATTATACACTGAAAAAAAGGCTTTTACTGAGGAGAATATTATATGGACTTGAGATGGTCTTAGATGCTTCATGCTGTCTAGAGCCCTCAGCCTCAGGTCTGTCTGAGCCTGTCTACTGTTCTCCAGAAGAAGTGGGAGCCTGTAGTTCAAGCCCAGGAGTGCTCATTTTGTTTCTAGACTGGCCTCAGGTGCCTTTTGTCATGGGAAGGAGATAGACTGGCCCTTGGTGCCCCTTCTTCTCTATGCCAGCGATCCGGAAAGGCTCTGGAAAGGGCTGCCTCTCCCCATCATCCTGCCCTGTGATTATCAAGTTAGCTCAGGCAGAAGCATCCTGCCTACTTGGCAAATTCTGAAAAGCAGGCTGGGAGGGTGGCAGCTTCCCCTGGTGAGCCATCTAGGGCTTGTTTCCACTCCATTATCAGGAGCAGCTCTGCAGGAGCCTTGTTAAGAGGTGGAACGTGCTCTCTCTTTCCTGGTCCTACAGTGCCAAGGGGAACTTGAGGGCTCTGCTGCTGGCAAAGCTGGGTTGCCCAGACCACAGGGCTTCAGCCAGGCAAGAGACTGTGAAACTGAGCTGTCCAAAATGCCTGTCCTGGGGAAAGTGCAAGGAGAATGGTACTGAGAGCCAGTGATGTCTGCAGCTCCTTGTTCCAGGAAGAGGACAAGTGAGGGAAGAAGTGAGTTAAGACCAGTGCAACCCACAAGGCTGCAGTAATGTGTCTCCAAAGGAAGAAAAGGTCAGTGGTCACCCTTTCACTTTTTGTGATAAAATAAAGGGTCCAAGTACCTACCTAAAAACACTCTCATTTACTCCAGAAGTCCACAGCCTGTTCCCGGGCCCTGAGTGCTAGGTGCACAAGGACTCCAGAACTCTGCACTAACAGGGAAGGAGGTGGTGATTCTCAGGACTTGCTCTTGCACTCATCTGCTGTGAAGCTGACTTCTCTGGTCTTGCCATCCTACCATCGAATGTGAGAGAGTCATAGCAGATTCAGATGGAGAGTATCATGGGCCCCTGCAAATGCTGTACTCTATAGATGACTCCAAGAGGTCAAATCAGACAGCAACTACTGGGCTTTGGGGATGAACTTTTTCTTGCCTTCCTTCCCTTCTCCCTCTTCCTCTCTCTCTCTCTCTCTCCCTCTTTCTCTCATGTTCATTTCAAGAAAACAAACACTCTCCGGTGGCAGCTCAGAGCATTCCTAATCTAAATAAGACATTCTCACTGCCAGCATGGTGAGATCACAAATCTCTCTACACTACAGAGAAAATGTAGTGTCTTTATTGTCTAGAATGCCTCTGTTTGTCTTCCTGAGCTACCTTTTTAAGGGTAATAAAGGGAAAGCAAGAACTATATCTTCATCCAAGCAAATTCAAATTTAGTACAACCCATTCTTCATAGCTTCTTTAGATCTCCAGCAATCTCCTAGAGGTCATTGCTTGTTTTCTTGCCCTGTTCCACAGGTGTCCTGGTGAATGGGAACTTAGGAGACCTTCTGGATTGAGGAAGGTGAGTTCAGCCTCAGACTGCCTCAGGTGTGCATGAGGGGCACCCATAGGAGCCTAGCAGGCATGATGTAGTCACCAGACATCCTGCTGGTGCTTGATGCTGATGACTTGTGGCTGACATTCTGTAGTCTTTTCTTTTGTGTCCGGACCAGGATCCAAGGGTCCATCACTGCTGGCTTGGCTTCCTCTCTACTTTTGCTGGTGCCATACTCCCCATGTGTCTTTGTTCCATTCTCCATCTATTCTCTAGCCCAGGTTGTCCATCTCTCAGTCTCTGCTATGTGGTCACCTCAATCTCCCCCCAGTGGGCTTCATGGCACTTGACATGGTGTCCACACAACATGGGTGTAAGGGTAGCTCATGGGAGCAAGCCAGACCCACACACAGCCCATCCTATCTATGCAGGGGTGCCTCACATTGTTATAACGTGACATGTATATTATAATTTACACATACAAACATGTATATAGAGACTGTATATAAATATAGTCTGTGTGGATGGATGGATAAATAAATAGATACTAACATTCTAGAAGGGCAAATAAAGTTACATGTCTAATTGTCTCTAGTATCTTTCTCCATATTTTATTTCTACTTTTCTCTCTGCCATCAACTACTCCACATTCACCAAGGACAGAAATTCCTCTTAACTTCTTTCTATATATTCAGATCTCCTCACTTAAAGCTCTGTAAGCCCACCGGGTGGACTTACCCTGACTGGGCTAAGTGGAACTAGACAATTTAAAACATCACTCTTTTCCTGACATCACCTGGCTCTCCACTCTGTTGTTGACTTTACACAGCACATGATATTGAAGGTCAGAAGCTTTCTCTTTGCTTCCCTTCCAAAGCAGTCCTTATGCATTCTCTCTCTTTTAAACCAGTTTCCCCTGTCCCCCGTGTGGATTAATGCCTTGAATCTATTAGGGAGAAGGTCATGTATACAGAAGAACAAAAGAAACAAGCACATTAATGCTTTTTAAAAATCTTGTCCTTATTCTCCAGGAAAAGTAGAGCTTGCCCCAACCAACGCACATACAGACACACCCCTTCTCCATTCTACTGAGCCCTCTCGTTCTCTTTCAGACCAAGACCTCAGAGAACCTTGAATAGGATTGTCAAGGAAAACTGCATATATTCTAGGGGCAAAAGAAGGTGCTTCTATGCTGCTGGCAATGTATGTTTTTTGATCTGGGTACTGTGACTAAAAAGTGCAAAAGCACATCCAAGGCAGGCTATCTTGGTCAAAACAAACTACCTCCTTGGGAACAATGCCATCTTTTGCCTATGACCAGTGTCTGCTCAATGCTGCCTTTGCTTGTATGGCCTTGCTTTCCTAGTGGGTGTCCCTCATATACACCTGAGAGGCAGTGCCTCCTAAGCCCCCATCCACCAGGACACCTGAGAAGAGGGACAAGAAGACAAGAGGAGACACTTGAAAGACCAAGTAATGATCTCTAAGAGACTGCTGGAAATCTAAAGGAGCTATGAATGAATTGTATGCAATTTTGAATTTACTTGGATGAGGATGAAGAAATAGTTCTGGCTTTCCCTCGGCTACCCTAAAGGTAGCTCAGGAAGACAGAGTTGTTCTAAGCAATAAAAACACTACATTTTCTCTGCAAAGCCTGGGTTATAGTGTAGAGAAAGTTGTGATCTCACTACACTGGCAGTGAGAACGTCTTATTTAGAATAAGAATACTCTGAACTTGCCATAAGAGGAGGGTGTCTTATTTCCTTGAAATGAACAGAAGAGAAAGAGGGAGGGAGAGAGTGACAGACATAGAGAAAGTTAAGCTTACCTGGGCCTGAGAACCATGATCCTCCTTGTCCACGTCTCCATCCCAGTTTTGATACTTTTTTCCAATATTGCACTCACCTCCTTGACTATTTCTCTTGGTGATTTTTGCTTCCTTGCTTATTTCCCTGGGCCAGCCTCCTTGACCTGGTCCAGCCTGGATTAATCAAGGAGGACATCTGTATCCCTTCCCCAGTTCCAGTCTCTCTCTCCAGTTCTGATTATTCAGTTTTGACAACAGCCATCCTGGCTCATCCACATTCCAAGCATTGGCTGGAATTTTATCACCAACCAGGGCTAAGTGACAGGAGAAAGAGAATGGAAAGAGAGGGAAGAGACGAGGCAGTGATTGTCAGCCGTACTATTTTGAATTACACAGCCCTGAATTTGAGCATCTATTTTTTAATATACTTTTCATCTGGGAAGATCGACAAAAGCTTCAAAACAGCACTTGCTTCAGGATTTGGGAAGAAGGGCATATAGATGGGTTGGAGGTGGGCAGGGGGAGCAATGTATCTATTAAAGGGACCTTTGACTTAATTTGTAATGTTTCCATTTTTAAAAGAAGAATGCATTTATATATTGTTTGTGAAATAAATAAAATAAGTATACTTGTCTAAAAACAAAAAATAAATTTTTGAAAAACAGGATAAAAGCCATAGAGTCTACATACATAACAAAATATGTAAATTTTAGTCGTATACTACAAATAATGTGCAGTCTGAGCCATATCTTTGCAGCTCCAGTGTCAACTACGGACATTTGACTCTTAAGAACTGTTTATTGAGGCAAACGTAAAGGATGTCATCTGACATTTTTTAGAGGTAGGAGAGGAGTAATAATTCAAAGAGTGGAGAGTGAGGAGGAGGCAACTGAATTAGAGTAAAAACAGGTTGTGAACTCTGCCCTTTGATGTCTGTTCTTTTTAGTAATTAACAGCAAGGTATTGAGGTTGGGAGTTCTGCTCATTTTTTTTTTACCTCAGTGTTCCCCATAAACTAGCCCTGTGTGCAACTGCAGGAAATTCATCAGCAAAAAGTCTCCTTCAAAGACTCTCAGCATGATGGAAAGTAGAAATCGCTGCCAGTCCTGGAGGAAATATGTTCCTGTAGCAATTGGGTTCCAACCCATAGACTCGCCACGCTCTGTCGATCTGCATGTGAACTGTGAATTGCTCTACAGTGTACCCAGATTGGGGGTGGGGAGCAATCGGCCCCTCCCTTCAAACTTCTGTTCCTCTCCATTTGCTGCCACAGATGCCAACACAATTCTTGTTGCATTAATTTGGCTGCGACAGGGAGAAAATGGCAGCAGCATATTAATTAAAAATAATATGCCATCCAAGAGATAGCTTGAGTTCACTTCTTCTCTTAGTAGTCTCTATAGTCCTTTCTTTTCAACTTACTGCTGACACTTCAGGGTGCCAAGGAAGGAGCAACTTGTTTAGTAGAAACAGGAAAGAAAAGTGAGAGACTAAAGAAGGGGCTCCAAATGTGATGAAGAGCTTCAATCTTAGAGATAGATTTTGATGGCACTGAAAAGAATACTAAAGAATCGGGGGAAATAATTGGATTCCTAAGATTAGAGTGGCAAGGAGAGATTAGAGGGAAGTGATACGAGTGGACACTTTAAATAGAGAGACATAATGCTATTCTCCAGTAAAAGGAACCAGAGCTTCTTGGGAAAAAAGCTGAATCCAGGATTGAGGTAGGAAACATACAAGAAAATATAGGAAGTCTTATAGTGCTAGAAAGTAAAGACATGCCAAAAACCAAATTATGGCCCACAGTAACTCATGCCTATAATCCCAGCAATTTGGGAGGCTGAGGCAGGTGGATTACTTGAGCCAGAAGTTTGAGACCACCCTGGGCAACATAGTGAGACCTCAGCTCTCCAAAAAAAAAAAAAAAAAAAAAGCCAGGCATGATGGCATGCACCGGTAGTTCCAGCTACTCAGGTTGCTAAGTTGGAAGGGTCACTTGAGTTCGGGTAATCGAGACTGCTGTGATCATCATGATCATGCCAGGGAATGCCAACCTGGGTAACGGAGTGAGGCCCCAATTCAAAACCAAATAAATGAATAAAAGCAACAAAACATCCCAATGGGAGATGTCAAATGGACATATGAGCCAATGGACAAAGCTGGAAAATTTTGAACAAGAAAAGAAATAATGCAGTATTGAATAGTAGCAAATTATAGCCCCAAATATAAATGCCCATAAGTCCATACTAATATAAATAAATGATTGAAAATATAAATAAATGGAGGAGCAGGAACAAATTTCCTGTACAGAAGAATTTCAAATAATTTATGTAGCTCTACTCTCTTCAAGGTGGTGGGGTATGACTCCCTACTCCTGATGCATGGGCTATGCACAGAGACTTCCTTCCAAAGAAGACAGTCTGAAGAGGAGGAGTAACACAAAACTTTATAAGAAGAAATGTGACAAATGCTACCTTGCCAGAGGTGACCCAGGCTAATATCACTACGAACAAGTCATGTTAATAGCATGTACCCTTGATATGAATAGCATTTCACCTCAGTGGTTCCTCCTCAAAACCTATAACCCCAATCTAATAATGAGAAAAAGAATCAGACAAGCCCCAGTTGAAAGGTGTTCTACAAAATAACTAACCAACACTCCTGAAATCTGTCAAGGTCTTCAAAACCAAGAAAAGTCTGAGAAATTGTCACAGTCTAGAGGAGCATAAGGGGGCACAATTACTAAACTGTGATGTGGTATCTTATAGGGGGTCCTGAAACAGAAAAATAACTTTAGGGAAAAACTAAGGAAATTAGAATGAAGTATAAACTTTAGTCAATAACGTTGTACCAGTATCATTGGTTGCCATCATAATTGTCAATTGCAATATGAAATTGGGTCCAGTTTGTAAAGGAAGCCCTTACAAAGCCCAGAAGCTTCACAACTCACTCCGTGGTCATGCATACATGTAAAATTGTTATGATCACAGCTGCCACTTTTAAGACTTGATGCTGTTCTAAATGCCTATAATTTCAGGTAGTCTCCTTTACAAGTGAAAGAAATATTTTTACCTATCCAATTTATTTTTCTCTAGCATTGCTGACAGAGTGGGATGACCTAATCAAAGAAAGAAAGAAGCTACTTCGGGGAAGGATCCATGAAGTTGACATACATATTATTCAAAATTAAATGGTCTTCACAAGCCTATGCCTCCCATGT